ACGGGATGAACGGCACCAAAGGCAGCACCCCCGAAGGTACTGAGGGCTGGCACTGCCCTGCTTTGGGGGTGCAGGACTGGGGCATGAGAGTGTTCACTCCCACGCAGCCCCCCTCGTGCCCGTGGATCCTGCGGGGACTTGGTGGTGCTGGGACAGGCCAGGAGAGAGCGAAGGAAGCAGCTTGTGCAGCTCCTGCCCTGGCTCAGACCCTGCCCTGGGGCTGCCTGAGGGCAGATTTGGTGGGGTCTGGGGGGCAGCTCTCTGTGGGAGGTTTAGAGGCTGGGTTTGGGTGATGCCAGAGGGGTGAACTGGTCTCTCCCCTGCCAGGATGCTCGCCGACCCCCTACGACTACCCCACGCCAGAGTCTTCCAGCCGCAGTTCGGCCACTGATGACTTCTGCTACGTCTTCGTGGTGGAGCTGGAGAGAGGACCCATCGGGCTGGGGATGGGGCTGATCGACGGCTTGGTGAGTTCTCACCGACGGCAGGACAGGGCTGATGCCCCTCCAGATAGCTGGAGTGGGACACGTGGGACATATACCCCAAGAAAAGCCAGCAGAGAAGCTAATGGCTTCCCCTGGGAGCTGGGCTGCTTTGTCTGGGGAAAACAAGGCACAGAGTGGGCTCCTGAGAGGAGCAGATCTCTGTTCCTGGGGCCCTGTGCTGTGCACACAAAGTCCATCACAGCTGGCCTGCAGCTGGAGAGAGCAAACAGGCTCAGTGCTCTCACGGAAGGAAAGTGACTCAGCTGAGGTCTTTCCTCCACCCAAGGGAAGCAGAGGGGAACATGCCAGAACCGCGCTGGTTGGCATGAGGTTGCGTTTCAGTCTGGCTTGGTGAGGTGGAGCATCTTACTAAGTGGCTTTTCAACCACTGTGCATTAGTCAGTAGGAAACAGGGCATCACCCAGCCCTGGGACAGCCCCGGGAGAAGAGCTCCAGCCAAGATGGCTGCAGGATAACAAAGCTTTACTCTTAAGTAAATTGAACAAGAAAAGATTGCCCTGGCCTCTCCTTTCTGTGTATAAACAGACCTAAAACTGAACTGCCAGCAACACCATCCCCAGCACCCATCCATCCATCCCATCCCCCAGCACCCCTAGGGTTCCCCGTGGCATCAGGCACCCGCTCGGCTGTGGGCCCATGGGGAGGGTCACCCCTCCTGGGTCCCCAGGGGCTCACAAACCTTTGGCATCCCTTCCACCCTGGCTGGTCGCTGAGCACCTCTCCCTGCCCCCAGCACACTCCCCTCTGCTCCCCGGGGATCTACATCCGCACGCTGATTGAGGACAGCCCCGCGGCTGCCGGCAGGCCCCCCCCCCTCGGGGACCGGCTCCTTGGAAAGCCTCATCGGGGCAGACTACCAAAGGTGAGCCATGCCCCGGCCGTGGCACCGGGGGGGCTGCTGCTGGAGGACAGGGCTCCTGCTGCTTTGCAGCTAGGGGCTGAGCGAGGGTCCCCGAGTCCCCGGTGTGAGGGTCCCGGCCAGCGACACGGGGGATGCTGCGGTGCGGGCAGAGAGGGGAGTGTGGGATGCTGGAAAGAGGGGGAAGGCAGCTCTTTGTGGGGTTTGGAAGAGGGACTGGGGAGCCACAGCTGGAGAGTGCTTTTGGGAAGGAAATCAGGGCCTGGGAGGTGGGGCTCAGCAGTGCAGAGATGCTCCAGCCCCGTCCCATGGAGACCTGGCTCCCCTTAAACCTACGGGCAGAAGAGAAACAGACCCTGAACAGAGGCTGTGGGTGTTTTGCCAGTGGGGAGCGTTTTGCAGACGTCAGTGACCTGGCAGGTTGGGGGGTGCTGCCAGCTCGGGGGGGCCTGATCTCACCTCTGTGCCCGTTGCTCTCTGCAGTGCAGTGGACCTCATCCGCTCCGGCGGGAAGAAGCTGCGCTTCCTGGTTGCCAAGTCGGACACGGAAATAGCCAAAAAAATCAGTTCCAGCTCCTCTTCCTCCTAGTCCTTGTGGTACGAGGGTCCTTCTGCAGCAGCTTGCGGGTGCAGCTCTGGATAGGGCTGACCTCGGGGAGCCTGGAGTGCAGGAGGGAGGACCAGGGCCCCACCACGGCCCTTTCTGACCCCTTGGCCCTGCGCTGCAGCGGGTGGAAGGATGTGCAAGGATGGTCCACGCTTCTCCCACCACGCTGGCCGGGAGCACCACTCCTGATCCGTCGCCTGGCCTCACCTTAAACCCTGTGTCGTCCTTCTTGGGGGCTTTCCTGGTCTTTCATCCCCTCTGGCAGGGGGCAGGAAGGGGATGCTCCCCCCACGGGGACTGCAGGCAGGTTCCTCAAGGCTGGCAGCCCTGTGGGATCTCACGCTGGCAGGCGCAAGGCTTGAGACACCTTTGGGATTTAAAGACTAGTCCCTGGGGCAGGCCTGGGCTTTGCTGTGGCAGTGGCCACCTGAGGTGCTGGCACATCAGGCTGGAGAAAGGTGCCTGGCTCTGGGGCTGGTGAAGGCAGCAGCAGCACCCGGGAGCAGGACTCTATGCAGGAAGCAGTGGCAGGAGTGAAGCTCCTGGTGCCATGCCCTCCCTCAGGTGCCTTTCTGCTGCTGAGCTCCAGTCTCGCTGCCCCAGCCCTGCTCTGGGACAGGAGCAGCTGCAGCAAAGGGCTGACACCACCAGCAGCTCCCCCTGAGTCCTGGGGACAGCCCCTGGAAGAAAAGGACTCTCTCCCTTGCTCACGCAGCAGATTTACTGCCCGGCTCTGGCACCGTGGTCCTGGCAGGAACTCCCCAGGACTGACCCAGCACCGCGGGGCATTCACAGCAGGGAGTTTCTCCGTGCAGAAGCTGTTGCCCTCTCCAAGGGGCTACGGCCAGGTTAGTGCTTCTGTGCCTGCCCCTGCTCGCCAGGAACGGGGCTTGTGCCACCAGGGACGCGAGCGAGCCCAGCCGCGGGCAGTGCCAGGTCCCAGCAGTGGCTGACAGGAGCCCAGGCAGACAAATGGCATCTTGGCACCGTGTGCTCGTCCTCTCCCTCCAGCTTTGCCAGGCTGCCCCGTTGCCTGCCCAGCTCAGAGCCTCTCGGAAGCGGGTGCTGCCGACATGCCCACGGGGGATCCGGGCGGCAGAGGCTCCCTTTGGAACAAGTGCCAAGAGCCGCGGGGGCAGGCGGGGCGGGGGGGAAAAAAACTCCTCTGCACCCCCGGCCTCCTGCCTGCCAAGTCCTCCCTCAGCTTTCAAAGACGTTGTCAGGATAAATGTGACCCGATTTCCACATCTAGACGGATTCTGAGACGTGGTTTAGCAGAACCCTGTGAAACCAGCCTGCTGCAAAGCTCTACATCACCCCGTGCTTCAACCAGCACGCTCGGGGCTCTGGCACCAAACCAGATCTTCACGTGGCTCCTCCCAAGAGTGCTCTGAGGACTGTGATGCTAAAAAAAAATGGGATGCTCGACAGGGTTTGCCTTCATGAAACCTCATGGCTGTAGCTTTGGCTTCTGTGCTTGGTCTTGCACTTTGCAGAAGGAGAGAGATGTCAAAATAATTCACTCAAGGGGAAACACTCCACTCCTGGACTTCGGTGCAGCCTGGCCTGCCTTTTTTAGGGTGAGATGGACAGAACACCTTCATGGAGACACTAGTGCCTTGCTTCTCTGCTAGGCCGTGCTCACGCCAGCTGGGCTGGGCTGCTGCCCCAGCAGGGACTGGGGACAAAGGGGCTGAGGGGCCCACGGGGCTCCTGGCGATTCGCTGGACATTGAAGCAGGTACACAGGCCTGTCGTCCTCCCCCCAGCTCAGCAAGGCTGTGGGGCAGGGAAGGGGCTGCTAGAGCCCCTGTGACAACTGCATGCACTCTTCACTCCCCCCTGCCCCACAGGCAGGGCTCGGGGCGGGTTTGGTTTGCACTAGACAGCACTGGGGCTGCATCCTGGCAACTTCAGCAGCACCAACACAGCCCTCTGCTCCCCACCAAGGGTGGGAAACAGCCCAGGCTGTGTGTGGCTCACAGTGCAGTCAGGCAATGAAAGAGTCTGTAAATAAACTATTTAGTGTGCATGAGGGTTTGCTTCTCCTGGGAGGAGCAGTGGGATGTCTTCACTCCCCCCGTTTGTTAATACTGTACAGCTCAAATGTGTATAAACTTCTCCAGCAGAGAGAACACAGCATGGCATCTGTGTGACACGGGGCTGGTGTATAGTGAGAAATGCTCTTGGTGTCACCAATAAACTGGATCAATAAATCTAAGCTCCTGCCTTGTAGCTGCCTCTTGGATCTGGCCGTGGTCACTCTGCTGTAGGACAGAAGGGGCAGGGAGGGCTCGCAGCAGACCTAACAGAGTCACTTCTGCTTCCTGCACCTTGAGCAGCCCTGGCTTGGCCGACCTGCTGCAGCAGAGGCCATGAAAGCAGGAGCTGCACAGCCAGGGTGGAGTGAGGGCAAAGGGGAGGGAGAAACAACTCGGAGGAGGCCAGGGAAGAAGTGTGTCTCCCAAGGGGCATGGAGTGCTGGCAAGGTGCTGGCATGAATTCACACAAAGCCTTGGGGATTTTCAGTCCTTTTGGGCCAGGGAAATGTAAGACAAGTTTAGGAGACAGAAGAACAGGCGCTAGGAGAGAGAAACACAAACAGCCTCAGAGCAGAAGAGCAGCCTCAGCTCTGCTTATTCCTCTTTTCTGTTTCATTCACAACCACTTGTTCCTCATTCTCAGTGTGGAGCAGGGCCTCAGCCCTGAGTGTCAGCAGTGTCCAACGAGGAGTCACCAGAGGCCAGAGCCCAGCAGAAGCCTGGGGCCCTCACCCTGGGATGAGGCCAGGGGTGGGCTCCAGGAGCCGGGTGACTATGCCCAGGGCCAGAGGCAGGGAGGTGTCCACCTGCCCCTGCAGCGGCGTGAACACCAGCTGAGCCACGCTGGGCATCTTCAGGAGGTTCCTCAGCTCCGTGGCCCGGATGAGCAGCTCCTCCAGGTCCTCCTCACAGTACACAGAGGTGACAGCAGGGCTCTGCACAAACGTCCTCATCTTGGACAGGAACATGGACACTCTGCAGGAGAGGACAGGTATCAGCTGCCAGGAGCTCTGCAGCCAGCAAGGTCACTTCTTAAGGCCGTGTACTCCAAAAGACTGTTGCAGGTGAACACCAGATGCTACCCACCCACCCTCCTGCTGATGCACAGAGCATTAGTCTGCAGATGAATCCCACTTCCCCAAACTGTGCTCCTCCACAGCTCGCTTCCTCTGTCCCATTTCAGTTTCAGATTCCACCAGCTGCCAAATTTGAGTATTAAAGACTAGCAAACATCTGTGTCGGGACCCACGAGACCTCCACGTTTCAGCCCTTTCCTCACCTGGGGATCAAGTCCTGGCTACGAGCTGCCAGCTTGGTCAAGGTGGCCATAAGGACACTGATGGCACGGGGCGGGTAGCTGGGGGTGCTGGCCACTGGTCGGAGCTGGGTGATTTCAAAGAGCATGGCCTCCAGAGTCTCAAAGAACCTGGTGATCTGCTCCACGGTGCAGCGCTTGTCGTAGGACACAGACATGTACTCCCCAACAGCCCAGACCTGAGGTGAAGGCAGATGTGCTCAGGGCAAGCAGAAGGGACAGGGATTGAGTAATTTTTAGGGAATGGCAAATCAGATTAGCTAAGGGTAGGGCAGAAGAGAGGAGGGAAGGGAAGGTGGCCACCAGACAGCACCACAGGTGGAGTGACCTGTGGCAGCAGCAGGCAGGCTCTGCCTACCAGGTGGGTGAAGATGGGCTCCTTGTTCTGGATGTTGCTGACTGTCCCCGAGAACTCCAGGATCTCTGTGGACAGTTCCACAACAAGAGCAGGGTGCAGCCTGCAGAGCATCACTAGCTGGGAGCTCAGCACCCTGGAGGAAAGAGATGGGCAGAGCTCAGACTGCAGGCAAGGTGGTCACCACCAAACCAAAGAGGTGCTGGCACAGAGGCTGCGCACTCAGGATGCTTCCAGCAGGGCTGAAGGTGCAGTCCCCATTTCATACCCCTCAAAGATGTGTTGCAGCAGGGACTGGGCCCCACAGCTGAGGAGGCTGCAGGCAGTGGAAAGGCCAGGAGCTTGGCTGGGCCTCCTGCCCCATCTCACCTGTACACGTCCTCTTTAAAGGCTGGGATCTCGTAGAGCTGGTCACTCCTCTGCAGCAGCAGCACCACCAGCTGGTTTATCAGTGGCCCATCTGCAAACTGAAAACCAGCCCTTGTTTCAGCAATGCCAGTGCCTTCCAGCAGCCAAAACCCAAACTAACCAGCCAGGGAGGACTGAGATGGCACAGAAAGAGCCTGACTAGCAGGAGGGGAGCAGCAGAGCACAGAGCAGGTACCAGGCACTCATTCTGCTCTTACCCACCTCCTTCACAGCGGGCTGAGAGAATGGTGTGAAGCCTGACACGGCACTAGGGAGCTTTTCTGTGTCCCCAGGTGAGGCAGCCAGCTCAGTGCTGGTTCCTACCAGTATTAGACCATCCCACCCTCCCCTCACATGTCCCTCTGTTAAAGCTGCAGCATCTTAATAATTTTGCTTCTGCAACTGCTCTTCACAAACAAGAGATCCCCGTGGCACGGCTGGGAGCCAAACCCCCCCTACCTCTGCCACCACCCTGAAAAAGAGCTCCAGTAAGACAGGGACAGTCTCTGCACACTGCACGACCCTCGGGCTGCTGGCCAGGGATCCCAGCAGCTGCCGAAGTGGAATCAGCCTGTGGGCAAGAGAAAAGTTCCTGGTGAAGGCTTCTTCCTGCTACTCTACTCTCCTGGCTGCCCTTCCCCATCCCCTCACGGGGCGCTTGGCAAAGCCAACAGAGGGGTGCTCAAATGCACCTCACCCCAGCTGAGAGCAGCCACACCTCTCCCAGCAAGCCCAGTGCTGCCTCCCAGAGCTGGATGGCTGACCCAAACCCTGGTGGCACCCTCCTACAGCTGCCTCCTACCTCTCTGGGGCCTCCTCGGGAGCAGACTTGGTGCGGAGAAGATGCTGGAAGGTGCTCTTGTAGAGGGGATGGCGAAAGGCTTCCAGGCAGCTGGCTGGCTTCACAGCAGGGTCACTGGCAGCCTTCTCGGAGGGAGGGAGAGCAGCTGACCTAGCAGGAGGCACACACAGAACGTGCTGCATTTTGAGATTGAGCCAGGGCACAGCCAGAGTCCTGAACAAAGGAATAACTCCCTTTCCAAGGAAAGAGGGACAGAAAGTTGGTGTAATCCAGGCCCTCTGGAAGCCAGAGAACCAAGATGACAGAGAATGAAGAACTCAGTTCCCCTGGGCTCAGGCGATAGTTCTAGAGTTGCTTTTGTATCACTCCTGGGAAAGGGAAAAATAGTGCCCTGTATCCCTCAGTCTTTGAAGCCCACCAACAGCTTGCCTCTAGGATGACTCCCTTTTCTAAGTGCTCCAGAGAGATCTGCTAATGGCAGGGAAGACAAGGAAGAGGAGAAGTACAGCAGTGAGAGTGAGAGCCAGTCCTGAGCCAGTCCCAGTCCTGTCCCATCTTCCTGGAGACTCACAGTTCCTAATAACCTCAGGAAGAAACCTCTGTATGTCTCCAGGAGAACAACACCAGAAAAGAGGGATAAGAGCTGGGAGGGAAGACCAGGCAGCCCACACCTCTGTGTTAAGGTGGTGGTTCATGGCAGACACTCCAACATGTGGTGACCATTTGGAGGTGGGTATGAAGAGGGCAATGACAACAGCTCCCTGAGGGCTAAAGACAGTGCAGTACTGAAGTGTGAGAGCCAGTCACCTTCTCTGCCTGTGCACAGCCCATTACTGGGAAAACTGGGCTGACACCTCTGCAGCTTTGTGTTAAGCAGATGCCTCTCATTCTGTGACAGCAGCAGCCAGAGGGCAGCTGAAGCTCAGAGAAGTGTGAAGTAGGCTGTGGTCAACATCAAGACCCTGATTAGCAAGCGAGAGGAAGGGAAGGTAGCATTACCTTAGCTGGATGTCCAGAGCTGCTGTCAAACAGGGCAGGTCAAGCAGCAAATGGAAGATCTCAATGGCTGTGCCTGCATCCAGCAGAAATGGGAGAAGGTCCACAAACTCAGAGATGAGGGGTGGGCTGTTCCATGCCAGGAACTGCAAGGAACAAGCACATGCTGCTGCACTCTCCCTGCTATGCTGCCATGCACCCACACTGTTCTCTCATTGTGACCAAAAAGGACAGGCAAAAGAAAATCACTTCTGAAAAACACAACCAGAAGTCTGAGGGTTTGGTCAAAACCTGGGAGGCTGCCGTGGCTGGCAAGCTGTGACTTATTAAAGTTTTCCAGAAACAAAGTGCTGCCCTGCCTGTGTTCACTGCACATCCCAGCCCTCTGGCAGCAACACTCACACAGACTCTCCTCCTCTGGCAGCACAAATCACACCCAGAACCCTCTTCCCTCCTCAAACTCACACTCGCTTTTGTAACGTTCCCTCCTGCTTGTGCTCTCCCTAGAACTGCCACAGAGGCCCATGGAGGGACCCAGGGGGCAACCCAGAAGTTCTAGGGCATATAAAGGAACAAAATTCCGGGGCACAGAAAGGAACAAAGTTCTGGGGCACAGAAATGACCAGGCAAGAGGCTCTCTCCTGTGCTGCCCCAGTGAGATGTACCTTGAAGAGATTTGGGAAGCTCTGCCTGAATATGCTGGAGGTCTCAGTGAAGAGCTGGCTGTTGTCTTTGCAGAACTGGACGAACTCAAAGGCCAGGGATGGGTTGTGGAAGAGCTGAGCTGGGATATCAGTGAACAAGTGTTTGTAGATCACATCGGAGTCCACAGCTGCTGTTTTGCCTGGGAGGACAGAGCAGGTTGCTGAGTGCAGCCCAGCCAGCAGCCCTGCCAACAAGGGCTCCAGGGGCTAAGCTGAAGCTGGGTTCTGTTTTTTAAGGGCACAGGACACGCCAGCTCCTGGAGCTCCTAGAGTGGGACTGTCCAGCCCAGAGTACAGCCAAGGCTGAACAACCAACATGGGCAGCCAGGAGAAAAAGATGTGCTGAGAGTGTGCAGGACTAGCTCCTGGAGGAGGGGGCGAGAGCTGATGACTCACTGTGGTTGAGGAAGAACTGGGCAATGGGCAGTAGTGCCCTGGCATAAGTGGCATCCCCACAGATTCTGCTGTGCAGGGTTTTCAGGAAGGAGACTGTGCGGTACACGTAGGAGGAGTCCTGTCTGCAGATGATGTCCATGATTGTCACTGCCTCGATGAGACACTGCAGGAGAGCAGAGAGGTCAGAGTGGGGGAAGCCACAGCTCCCAGAGCTTCAGCCCCTCCTCTGTGTACGTACAGCTTTCTGCAGGTCTCCATCGTCTTTCTTTAGGGCCCCTGCCAGAGAAAGGAGTCCAAGTTAAACTTAGAGTCCAAACAGCAGCATCAGGCTGTCTGAGCACTAGTCCAGACTTCAGGAGAGGTGGGAACATGTACTTATCCAGTTTCCAGGCTCATGAGAACGAACTTCCACAGCCCCCTCCCCTGCAAATGAAGGCTAGGAGGCAGAACGTGGCCACAGCCTCCAAATCTGTCCCACCACCCCAGCACAGTGACCTGCACTAGCAGCTGTAACAAGCCCCATCTGTAGAACCTGACTGTGGACTCCAGGGAGTGAGATCCCAGCCCAAAGAGGCCGGGAAGCAGAAGCAGGCTCAGCACAGTGCCAAGGGAGGGCCGTGGAGGGCTGGTGGGAGGACTCACGGCGGGCGCTCTGCTCGGCCAGGCGCTGGCAGTACTCGAAGCCTTTCTCCCGCAGACGCTCCGCTGGGGCGAGCTGCCCACCAGAGGTGGATGCAGTTGAGACCGTGGACACAGCAGACCTGTCCAGCCCTGATCTGTCATCTGCAGAGTAAAGGTTACCATGCATCAGCTCACATCATGGGCAACGTGACCTACGCAGCTGCCCAGAAACAGCAAGGGAGCTGTGTGTCCCCAGGTGAGAAGAAAAGGAGGTTGGGGAAGAAGGGAGTGTCAGAAGAACACTAAGGAGAGGCTCTCTCCCAGGATGTTTTGCTTAGGGATTTGCCTGAAACCAGGGGACTCTCTGAACAATTCCTTGTGGAAGGTTTAATACGAAGGTTCTGTGATATTCCTTCCCAACTCTTGCCCATATTCCTGCCGCTTGCTGGGTTGCTGGTGCAGCCACCTAAACACCTCAGAGCACACATCCCTTTTGAGGGAGCAGCCACGCTGCCCTGCAGCCCCTCAGTTCGTACCTGAATCTGGGGTCTTGCCCCCGTAGCAGAGCAGCCAGCTCCGCAGCATGGAGAAGGCCTGGATGTTTAGCCACTGGTCCTGGGTGTAGCACTGGCCCACCGAGAGCACGGTGAAGAAGTCTGTGGCCACGGCACCATCCACCTCTGTGACAGGACCAGGCTGTGAGAAAAGATGTCAGATCCCCACGGAGGGGCCAAGTGAGGGGGCAGGGAAAGCTCCACTGAGCCCACAGAGACAGTCAGCCCGTGTTTAGCTGCACTGTGGGGCCTGCAGGGAGGGGGTTATCCAGAGGCAGGAAAGCCAACTACACGGGGTCCTTCTTCCCCAGCTGAACCACTCCAAACCTTCCACCCCTCTGACACAAATGATTTGCCATCAGCTTTTACTCTGAGGTACGTGGTCACTAAAGGACTCTTCCCTCAAAACCACATCAAGGATCAAAGCTCTGGCTCTGCAGCAGAGCTCCTAAATCTTGAAGCTACAAATTCCCCTGCTTCGTTTTCCTGTGTGTTTTGACCACTTACCCGCAAAAAGCAACAAACACCAGCAGCACTTTTAGGTTACCATCTCCTAAAAGCAGCTGATTTTGGGCATGCAGAACAGCAGGTAACCAACTAACAAATGCCCCTGTGAGATGACCAAGGCAACTCAGCACTCACCTGCCTGCTCCTGGGGCTGGAGAAGAAGCCTCCCGAGGGCTGCGCAGCTCCCTGCTGAGTACTCGCGTACCTCAGCCAGTCACCCATCTTCTTACTGATGACACTGGTCTGCTCTGTACAAGGAAAGTCACAGGGTCCTTGCTGGACTGGGCAGAGAAGCAGCCTCTGCAACATACCCCTGCTCCCCCTGTGCTTTGCCTCCAGCCTTCATCCCTCTCTCTGATCCAGCAATCAGGAGATTGGCACCCCAGGGTGGATGCCCTTTACTCCTCCTCACACTACTGCAGAGTCCAGGCTTGCTCAGGCTCATTTCAGAGCTCCGTGACCTTTTCTCACTCCCAGCCACTGGGTCAAGTCTCGTTATTGTTTTTCCTGTTTCCTTAGACAAAAAGTCAGGGAGGGAGTGCTGGAACCAAGGACTTCTGGTACCAGATCAGTCAAGAGGTTCTTGTTCCTTTGTCTCCATCCACAGCTGCTATTAGGAGGAAGGGAAAACCACTGCCAAACCCAGTGAGGCAGTGTCTGCCTCAGCTCTGCAGCCAGAGGCACAAATCCCTCTCAGAGAACACACAGAAGCTGAGGCAGGTGAGGCTGCCTGCTCAGCCAGCCCATACACAGCCTCCTCCCCAAAGCTCCTCCTGCCTACTGCACGACACACAAACCTCACAGGGAAAGCCCAGGAACAGATTCTTGCTCACAGCTCCTCACTGTTTTGAGCCTGGAATGCTCTCCTAAGGCCCAGGACATACTGCTCACCACTCCCCATACAGTCCTGCCTCTCTGATGAAGAGTAACCCTCACTGGTTTTGCTGCTCTTTTGAACAGATACACAGGCACATCTCTGCTCCTGTCTCTCCCTTTGCTTGATGCTCTTCAGGACAGCTACCCTTTCACACTCCTACTACACCTGGAGGCCTTAGGAGGGTCCACGTTACTGTGATACAAATCCATGGAGAACAGCCACTCTGAAGGGCCAGTCCTAGCTTTGAAAGCTGAAATAAATCTCAGCCAGTAAGTTCATTTTCTGTGTGGCAGAGACGTCACTTTTAACAGCAGTTTCCAAGTCCTTCACCCAGCCAAAGCCTTTGGATCACTATACAGATCACAGATGGTAATATTAGGCCTTCCTATATAGTTACCTTCAGTTAGAGATTCTGGTGAAAGCCTGATGACATTTGACAGGACAGGCAGAAGGTGCCGAGCACTCTGGCCCTCAGGCAGCCTTCTTTCCAGGGCTTTCACGATGCATTGCCCCACAGCAGCCACTTCACCCTTCTTATTTCCCTTCAAAATAAAGCAGAGGAAAAGCTAGGCAGATAGTGTTCTGCTAGTGCTAGACACCCACACCACAGAAACTCTTCCATCAGGCATCAATACCAACGTCAGACATGAAAAGAACTCACAGCACAGGCTTTTTTACCACATTTTACAGACATCTCCTGCAATGTGAATTCACAGATCCCAGGAGGGGAGAGGACTCTGATGGAGCAACAGGTTTGTGGACAACCATCACCTGAAGTGGAAATGAACAACTGTGCTGGATGTCTTCAAATGAAACACTGAGATCCACCAATTCTGGAGCAGAGAGTACTGGCACTAACTACTCCTCGTGGTCAGTTTGGTAGCTCAATTCTTAAATTAGAAATTTATGAAAACAAACTATTGTAACATGTTCTAGGACTCTCTGGTTAGTCCACATCCTCACAACGTGGAAAACAGAGCAGCTTCCTCTTTTAAAAGCAGAAGGGAAAAAAGAAAAGAAGCTTATAGCCTATTCCCCACCAGGCAGTCACTGCAGGCAGCACTCCAAACTGGAAGGTTTTCCTCTTCATGGAGAATTTAGATCTTTGAAGTGTGATCCCTGGGTGCCTTCTAGGTTCTATTTATCTTTTTTTTTTAAGTTTGAACATAAAAGTCAGTACATTAAGAAGCAGGGCAATAAATTCAAACTCAAATCTTTTGCTCTACAGGTGCAAGCAACCTTAACTTGAACAAGTCTATTACAGCAGCTAGCACTGAAGAGTTCCTTTTTACTTCCAGTTAGTTACAAGCCTGCTTGAGGTCCTCAGTCTCTACACATCACAATATTAAGAAGTCTTTGTTATCAAATACTAAACATAAAAAAGTTGCCATTTTTTCCTACACAAAGCAGAATTATTAAGTTCCTTAAACGAATGTGGAAATGCTTCTGCCTTTTCTTAGATGCTTCCAACTGATTTTCACACTTCAAGAGCTCAGCAAACAGAGAGAAATCAGAAAGCAAACCCATATTGACAAGGGAAGATTTCTGACTTGGCAGGTCATTTACCTGAGCCAGAAGGACAGAGGATACCAGGCTCAAGAGCTTTGTATCTTGAATCTCATCGCAGGAGAGGATCAGATCATTGCAAGGCGACATCTCTCTCAGGATGGCAGCACATAACACCTGAATCTGCTCAGGGCACTTGGATGAACACAGCACTGTCTGCAACAGCTCCACAAACTCGCCATCCAGCCTGCAAGAGTCACAGTAAATCATCTCTGCAAGGCAAGAAAAGTCTCAAACATTTATTTCCTCTGTATTCTCAGTCTTGGGACGACCTCCTGTGACAGCAACCTTGACTAATGGCATCTTATCGCCTTCACTTGTGAATTTCGTTCCCTAGTGCAGACAGAAAGAGCACTAAGTGACCAAACTGCTTGTTACTCACTGCAACAGAGTGGGCAAAGGGGGAAGGAAAGGCAAAGAGGGAAGAAAAGGCAAACGGAGGCTTTATGCTTACATCAAACTCAGTATTTTCACGACAGGGTGATTTTTTTTCTCGTCAGGAAAGCAAAGCTCTGCCTCCCGGGCGGATGAGGGAGCCGAGGCCACTCACCTGCGGGGGTACTTGGTGGCGGCGATGCTGAGGCGCAGCCTCTGCAGGCAGCCCGCGGCCTCGGGGCCCAGCTCCGCGCCCCG